TCAAGGCCTTTTAACCCAAATTTAGAGAGCAGAGACCTCTTCTCATTATTAGTATGTCTTTAGAGTCTAGAGATCACAGAGAATCCAAGGAAAAACCTTCTAGCACTGCTTTTTAGCACATTTTACCCCCTAAACGTGTCTACTGAAGCAGTTGCCTATCTCCATAAAGAGATGTTTCTTAAGGGGAAAGAGCTCTGCTTTATCAAAATTACTAAATGAAAATATTGCATAAATGAGTGTTTCTTGTGCTGAATCCTGTTTCACTTGTACTTACATTTAGAGGATTTATTATTTTAATGCTTTGATGACAGATAGTTCTCATTTTCAGCCTGAATAAGTTGCCAGCGGGCTTGTCCTGATGGCTGATGGAGGAGCCTCTCTGTTTTAGGTCTAAATGGTTTATTTTATTCACTGAAATCAGAATTTTTTAAGAAGGAAATTTATGTATTAACATATTATTTTGACATAATATATACTTTATAACAAGCATTATACTGAGATAACAACATGAACTGTTTGTTTAGGATATAGCAAAGAAAATGATCTCTAGAAATCGAGCTCTGTTGTTTTGAGATAAAATCGATTTATTCATTATCTCAACATAACGAGGTAAATAACCTGTTGGCTTTGGAAAACAAGATCCATTATTTAAAGAAAAGAAATTCCTCATTAACTCAACAGAGTCTGATACCTGGAAGAAACTCAACTATCAGACCATTTCCACGTCATCTCAGAAAAAAGTAACCCATCATCTTTAGACAACAAGCAGCCAAGATAATGACAATAATGAAGCCAAAAAGGTAAATCACTAAGACTTTTCTAAATAAATCCTCTCAGTGCTCACAGACATCTCTTTTCCAAATGTTTCACAACTTCCGTTAAAAACTGTGACCTTGTTATAATAAGTTTTATTACATAACAAAACATCTGTTATGACACAAATGTAGATGACACCAGTTTATATCTGACTTTGACAAATGTGGTTCTGATATATCACCACTACAAACCACAACAGGTACTGGTGGAGCCTGAATGCTGGGTGATGGTGTTGGCCCATATAAGTAAGAACTAAAGAGCATTTTCTCCCCGATTTCCCAACAGATCTAATTAAAGAAGGTATAAAAGTACTGAGCTGCTGTCTTACAGAGACGGAGCACCAGGCACATCTTAATTCCATCCTTTGGACCGACATTTTTATCATTTCAGATTAGTCAGCAGGCACACATGTCCGTCAACAGCTCGGCATGTGTGAGTCACTCAACAGAAGTGCTGCGTTCATTTAAAATTCTCTTCAAAAAGTGCTTTTTATTCTCAAGAGTCTCATCTTCTGGTTAAATAAAAATCTATTTTTAATAAATACAACACAAAATGAAATGAAAATTATTTTATATGTAATTTAACTGACTTGTATCAGGAGCATTTGCAGCTCAATGGAATGAAAAAGCTTGAAAACAACTCGATTTAGGCAGACTTTTGCAAAGTTATGATTGATTCCGAATGCAACCTGCATTCCCTTCAGTAATCCTCACATTTATGGGCCCTGGCGGATATTTTTCCCCTTGTTTGCCGCTTTTTTAAAATGGTAAACCTTACAGAAGTTGCCAGTTTTATTTCCCAAACTTTGACAGTGAAAAGCTCAGTGGGAACACCAGGGGGTTTGTTCCAGAAAACAGGTTGAACTCCAAAAGCAGCAGTGTGTGTGAGAGCCTGAGTTAGTTACGCGGGTTTAAAAAAGGCGCTCTGCCTCAATTAAACTCTAAATGTTTATAACCATAAATAATAGCTGTCACTTTGAAATGAGGAAAATTCAACAAATGAATCATAAATTGGGATTATCAAATTAATTACAGAGTCTTTGTATGTTCACCTTCCTCCGGTTATCCGGGTCCGGTTTGCGAGGGCAACATCCTGAGCAGGGCATCCCAGACAGCCCTCTCCCTGTCCCCCCACGGCCTTCCCCAGACCAGATTAGAGACGCACTGGCAGGACACACCCAAAACACCACCCCAGGAATGGGGCATCCTAACCAGAGGCCTCACCCCATCTCTACGGCTGAGCCCGGCCACCCTCCAGAGGAAACTCATTTCGGCTGCTTGTATCTGCAATCTTGTTCTTTCGGTCACTACCCAAAGATTGTGACCATAGGTGAGGGTTGGGATGTAGATCGACCGGTAAATCGAAAGTCTTGCCTTCTGGTTCAGCTCCTTCTTCACCACACCAGACTGGTTCAGCGTCCGCATCACTGCAGACACTACCCCAATCCGCCTGTCGATCTCCCGCTCCCCTCTTCCCTCACACGTGAACAAGATCCCAAGATACCACTCCACTCCACTTGAGGCAGGACCTCTCTTTCAGACCTTTCAGCATTTTTGATAATATAAAAGCAATTATTTGATTTAACACCAACCTATTTCCTAAACTACCTCTAAAAAGGTGTTGCTTCTTTAGACAGGCCAGGAGAAGCTTCCTCAGAATGACCAGGAAGGGGAGGAGTCAGAGGAACTCAGAGTATCCTACCATGAGAAGGGCCCTCTCACCTCACAGTTGAAATGACATTCAGAGAATTTATGCTGCGTTTCTGTGTAAAACTTGTGAATAATTCCCATCTTACCCACAGTATAAAAGATGGATGGGCTAACAGCTAGTCTGCTGCCTGCTGCTCTGGACTCCAGCCCCTCTAAAGTGGCTCTTTATTACCTCAATCAAACAATTATTTGAAAAACTTGGTACTGATAGTACTTTATGAAAAAAATAATGTTGCAGCTTTTCAGGATATTTAAGTTAAAAATGGCCAACACCCTGCTGTAATGATTGTGTTTACGTTTTTGAGACAACACTCAGAATTACTCTTTAATTTGGCTGAAACCCCCATACCAAATCAAGACCAGCTATCTACAACGGCTCCAGAACCGAGGAAGGAGCACAAAGAAGGTGAACTGACATTCTAGCACCAAACAGCATGGAGCATTATGGAAAGATGGTTTTCTTACAGATAGATTTGTGTACATGATGCTTGTTTCTGTGTCGGTGTCTGACGTGCCTGTGTGCTTTCAGGAGACAATCTCAGATATGAATCACCAGTTCCTGTTTAGAGCTTCATGAGAGAATGGAGAGAAGGACGAGGAGAAAAGTGGACAACAAATGGCTGGTTAGAGCAGGAAACAAGCTGTACTCTTTGCAGATGTGCTGCTGGCCCAGGAACAGCTTTTAGTTTAATTGTCCCCCGCCAACATCCGACTAATCACCCCAACACACCACGCTAGTTGAACAACTGGACCTCGTATCATTGAAGCGATGATAAGACCGGGCGGGCGTGACGTGCTTCAGATCAGATTAGAAAGAATGATTAGATTCTTCCTCTCTCATTAAAATAAAAGATAAACAAATGTTACAGAACAAAAGGTCTGAACCCTGATTCATGGACTGAGACCGACTAAAGAAGAATCTTTCCTGATCTGGAACGAATCAAGCAAAAATAAGATGTTTTTCTTGTGTCAAACTATCATTTTTTTTTATATATAACTTTGCTTTATGGACAAAAAAATAAATAAAACTTTGGAGGGCTGCACAGTGGTTAGAGCCGTTGCCTTGCAGCAAGAAGGTCCTAGGTTTGCTTCCCGGCCTGGGATCTTTCTGCATGGAGTTAGCATGTTCTCCCTGTGCATGCGTGGGTTCTCTCTGGGTACTCCGGCTTCCTCCCACAGTCCAAAAACATGACTGTTAGGTTAATTGGTCTGTCTAAATTGTCCTTAGGTGTGAGTGTGTGTGTGCATGGCTGTTTGTACTGTGTGTCTCTGTGTTGCCCTGCGATGGACTGGCTCTCTGTCCAGGGTGTACCCCGCCTGATTGCCCGTTGACCGCTTGAGATAGCCCCCCCCCCCCCCCCCCCCCCCCCCCCCCCCCGCGACCCTGCGTGGACAAGCGGGTTCATAATGGGAGTATCAAAATCACCCCAGTGGTGGACAGACAACATAAAAAGTGGCATCTTTTATTTTACTTCCTGTTTTATGATTTCTTTTACTTTCCCTCCCATCCAGAGATATTCATCACTGCCACATGTGCCCTTTGGTCCAGATAGATTTAAGGAGATAAAGACTGTACAGCAGAAAGTTTTCAGAGGTAGTTAACTATTAATATGAGGCTGCAGGGGGATTTTCAGATATTAAAGTTGCATGCATATCAAAGAATAGCTTCACTCTAATATTTTGTGAAAAGGGAGGACAGGCAGACCAGGAGAATGACTGACAGACAAAAGCATTTTATTCACGCTTCAGCAAACATGTATTCTCTTTTTATGCTGAGTGTTTTGCCTTTTTAAGCCGGTACCCAAGAATACCCTCTGTCAAGGTTAAATATAAAGCTGCAAGCCTCATCCCTCCATGCTGTTTGGTGAGTCTATAATTGAAAGTAGTGTTCCTGTGCTTTTGGTGGTTCTGGTCCAAATCAAACACAGAGAGATGTTTCCCGTCTGCAGCTCCCACGCACCAGGAGAACTCAGCTGCAGTTGTTTTCCACTCAGAGCATCCCCGAGCATCTGCAGAGCTGACTGTGATGTTAGACGACTCAATGCACAGGCAGTAAGTTAGTCTTGATTTTCACTTAGACGTAGGAACAGTTGTGCTGACACCACTGTTATCTCATATTTGTGTTGCACATAAGATGAAGAATCAAATAGTTTGTATTGTCGTTTGGGAAACGGTGCCGTCCTGACCGTGCACTGCCAATGAACCGTTGATATCCCATTCAGATGGAGTGCAATGGCTTCGGGACATTAGCACAGCTGTCGAATCTGCTATAAAACCTAACGGCCCAACAATGAAAAAGGCCTCATTTGCTTACCACTCAACAGACAATAAATTGCAAAAGGAGAGCATGCAGAATGATGTTTACCTAGGATCTTAATCAGCGTTTTTGGAGGGAGAACCACTAAATTACATCATCAGTCATTTATCTTGTAGACATGCTGAGTTTTAACTGAACAGATGAACAACGCAGCTTACCCAGTGGAAGGAGTCATGATGCAGCCTCCGCGGTCCACTGTCACTCTGCAGCCACACCCCCTCTCCGGCGTGTCATGGTTCATTCCAAAGTTATGTCCCAGTTCATGGGCCAGAGTGACTGCAGCTCCCAGGGGATTGTCTGAGTGATCCTAAAAGTCAAACAGTGCCAAATCAGCGTCACAAACTCCTTAGAATGGAAAGAGACACTAGCTGTCCTAAAAGTTGCCAGCAGACGCAAAATGACATCATCATATCTTCCATGTGTACCTAACTATACTGGGCGCTGTAGGAGAGAGGAATAATGGTCCATGAGTGACAAAAAGTGAATTGAATACACCCAAAATATGTTCCGAGCTTCTTTTGTTGATTTTTGACGCCACACTTTCTACCCTCCATCTTTTTCTGCTTGTAGGCTGATGATGACTTCATGCTTCCTGCTCTGCCTGCAACTAGAACACTTATTGAGGGAGGATTGGGCAGCCTGTGACTGCTGTGGGGGAGGGAACGCCAGAAAATTTACTATATTTGTTGCTTTTTAAACAAAGATTCACAAAAAGAGTCTGAAAACTCATTAAATATAGCAACAAACTAAGTTGCTACATTGGTAACACTAAACTCTTCCCTCAAAAGTTTTCACTCCTGAGTTCTTCATTTAGATATTTCTGAAGCAAAGAAGCAACGTAATAAAACTAGTTGAGTCAGTTCAGTTGGTTGTTCTGAAGCAGAAACACACAAAAGTTAATTAGAAACAGACGAGTTTGATAGCATTATAATAAAAAAAAATTCAATGCAAAGCAAATTGTTGTTCCCTATAGGACCCACTGCAGCAACGTGTCTCAGAGCAAGTGAGTGTGATTACATATTGCTCAAATTAAAAAAAAAATTACAACTCAGGCAGATCTGTGCACAGCAGAGCGTTTCCACTACATTGTGTTGCTGAAAGAGGGAGCAGACTGTTGGCTGTCACCTTCAGCTTGCTAAAAAAAATTCTGACAGGAGCCAGATGTGCTGCTACATCAAAACTCTCCAGTAAAAATATGGAAAAGGGGGACATGAAAATCCCAGATAAACCAGATAAGCATTTAAAGCAAACAGTTTTAAATAAAGTGTGGAAAAGATAACGTGCTGAGCGAAAGCTGCCCAGGATTTCCTGAAAGGTGTGTAGAACATGAACACATGAAAAGGCCAAATAAATAATGCAGGTGCGGGAGCCATCAGCTCTTCGTGGATGCAGAGCCGTGTGTCAGAGCACCTTGCCTCTGGAATCTTCTGACATTGTGCATTATTCAGTGGCGCTGCACGAGTCAAGCTCAGACTGACGAAGCTCTCTGCTGGGGGCTTTGGGGGGTGGGGGGGTGGGTCTGCTGTCAGCACTACAATCCGACCGAGCAGCCCGGGATTAATGAAAAACAACAACAAAAACAATAACCTCTGACTTTGTTTCCTGGAACAACGCAGACGCATCAGATGAGACCCGAGCTCTCGGGAGGACACATCATGAAATAATCTGAGCAGCGACCCGCCACACCAATTAAATCAACGTAACAATTACTGCTGGAGATTCCAGATGTCTGAGAAGGATTTTAAAGATGAAACTGCCTAAAAAAATAATAAAGAGCACTTTGAACTCATTACTTTAAAAGTTCCCGCTAAACAAAAGGATGCAGCTCAGACAACATGGTTGTGATTGGTCCAACAAAAGCATCCTTTTCACATCTGGAACCTGACACATAAGAGCACACTCATTTTATCGCAATAAAGTCCCAACTTAAGTAGGATAAAAGTGAAGAGCAATCTTTGAGGAGACGGTAAATCATCCACCAAAGCTCTGTGTACCAGAGACATTAAGAGAAAAACAATAGCATGATTTGTGCTAATGCAACAACGTATAGGACTGCAGATCTATAACGGGTCATCATTTACGACGCAAATTTCTATTCCAGCCGCGGTACACTGTAACCTTAAATTCACTCGTTTATTGCACCTCATTAAAAAGGAAAGCATTTCCACTCATGCAATCGATACGTACTGATTTATCACTGATACTATGCATACCCTTCATTCGGCCTTCCAGTAAAATAAGATTTAATGATGTGCTTGCCCCAAAGTTAAAACAAGCTAACATCAGCTTGAGAATCATTCCCTCTACGTGGACTCAGGGGGGAAATTTGAACGTTTTTGTGGGACGAGAGTGAGAACAAAGTAAAGGACACACAGAGTAGGATGGAGGTAGATGAAGGTAAAATGAATCAACAGCACAGGCAGTACGTATTCAACTCAGGAAGAAGAAAAATCATTTAAAGTATGACCTACCATAACTATTCCTCCCGACTGCTCCACTGTGCACATGCTCATGATGGGCGCCATCCCAATGGTGGTGCCTTGGAAATACACGCCACTAGAAAAGACAACACACACTTGTAAATGCAGACTAGTACAGAATAGGTCAACATCTACCCAAGCTGTAATTATAGAATAAAATTTAATAGAATAATCCTTTATTGGGCCACTTTTGGGACACTTTTGCATACCAGCAGCAAGTTCACTCACTCAAGGGGATTTACAGAATAAAGACAAAAATAAAGATAAAATGTCAAGATAAAAAATCTATATTCAAATAAACACTGGCGGATTTAGCAATTTGGGGGCCCAAGGCAAACACAGACAAGGGGCCCCCTTACACTAAATTTTCGACAATCTTATCTTTAACTGGATTTGTGAAACTCTCCCCTCTTCTGACGAGTTATTTTCACTTTTTATTAGTCCTCCTCTTTTTTTCTGTCTTTCTCTTCCTTTGAGTGCCTTCAATATTTGCTCTGCTTTCTTCTTCTTGTCAGTGCTCCTGTGCTTTTGCCTTTCTTTTTTTTTCTTCTATTTTCCATTTTGGTCTATGTTTTCCTCCCTTTAAACATTTTTCATTGTCTTTCCTTTTCTGCTTCCTTTTGATGTTTACCTTGAAAAACGACATCACTTTTGGAAGTGAAGATAAAAGCTTTTTTAAAGCAAGCTGCTTCTTTCTCTTATTGGAGCCACTAGGATAACTCAATTTCATTCTTAATGTTTTGACTACCACTTCAAGTTTGTTACAAACGCTCCTGCCTCTCTTCTTTTTCTGCTTTCTCTTCTTCTTCTTCTTATTTGTGGTCTTATGGCACTTTGCAAACCACAATTTGGTGCATCACTGCCACCAACTGGATTGGAGTGGAATGACTACCAATCACTTCCTGTTTGTGCGTCAGCATCTTAAAGGAATAGCCCGTTGTGGCATTAACAAAATGGTGCCAGCAGTCAGGGCTAGTGGGCCCCCCAACACAAGGGGGCCCCAGACGGCCACCAACCTATGCCTAATGGTAAAACCGCCACGGGAAATCAAACATTATGGATTTACAACATTTAATAAATTAGAATATACTGTGCATTAAGCGCCACATAGTAGTCTACTCAGAGTGCTATGAAGTGTATCCTTGAGCAGGGCATAGTGAAGGCATCATTGGATCGAGGCTTAACCATCGGCTGACAGCTAAGTGAACACTGCTTGTTTCTGTGCAAAAAGTATAAATACTTACCATCTTGCATGGCTTCCTGATCAGCCATTCTTTGGAGAAACAGGACAGTCAAGATAACGGCTAATCAGAGGAAAGCCACGACTATTAATACTACAAGTATTATTTTATAAACCTTCGCACAAGCATACATTGTGCAATACCAGCGATATCAGGAGAAATGTTACAGATTTCACCCCAATGCACTGGAAACATTTCCTGTTTCTAGTCTTTTTCCTGTTTGTAAATAATCACAGAAACCTTGTTGTAGATTCAGGGGAAAAAAAGTACTTTTGGAAAGGTTTCACTTCTCATGCCAGAGATTTTTCAGTTCATGGAGAAAAATGTTTAACAGCTTAAAATATGGGGTGAAAGTTTCTTTTATGTGAGATAATTCTCAAATCGAACATTTCTCAAGATAGCTGCATTAACAAAGCTCTCGTTACAGACTACAAACCTGACGCTCTGCATGTTTTCTCCTTAAAAGAAAAAAAAACTTCTTAGAAAAGAAGCAAAGTGGTGCATTTGGACTAGTGGTTAGCTCATCAGTCTCATGGGACACAAACTCTTTGACCTCGCTGAAAGTATTTGAAATATTACATTTTCTTGTTTAATTAGTCACAGAGAAGTAAAGAATATTTACTGAACATTTATTGAACAGAAGAACAGAAACCAGTCATTTGAAAACTGATTTGAAAGCATGTGGCTCGTGTCCTGTTATTAAAATTAACACTTTAACTTCCTTTTTGAATTTTGATTTAGGACAATAAGGGCTTTAGTATGATATAAATGAATAAATAATATTAATACAATTAGATCTGTAATAATGTTAACATAATGATAATGCAATGTAATAATGATATTCCTTTTCTTCAAACATCTCCATATTTTAAGAATTATATTAAAAAAATATTTTTCCTTGTTAAATTATTTTAATACTTCAACGAGATGGTAAATGGCCTGTATTTGTATAGCGCCTTCTTAGGGTTCTACAACCCCCCAAGGCATTTCACAACACAATCAGTCATTCACCCATTCACACACCCATTCACACGCTGGTGATGGTGAGCTATGATGTAGCCACAGCTGTCCTGGGACACACTGACAGAGGAGAGACCTGTCATACAATGGCGCCACCGGTCCCTACGACCACCACCAGCAAGCAAGGTGGGTTAAGTGTCTTGCCCAAGGACACAACAGCAGCACTCTCTGGCGGGAGCCCGAATTGAACCTGCAACCTTCTGATTACTGGTCAACCCGCTCTACTTCCTGAGCTACTGCTGGGCTGAGATGTTGCTTTGATGCACATTTAGCAGTAGATAGTAATGTCCATTGTGACTGAATGTGTCTGAAAAGTGAATCCGATTCAAATGAAATACAGTTTAGTTTTTCTATTTCTTAAGGACACAATATGTCCGCAATGTTCCAGCACAGGGTCCGGCCAAAAACTGGTAACAAACCAGCCAATGTTCAGAAAACCTTTGAAAATGCTCATAAAGCAACACAATATAAACATATGTGTGACTGTTGTTACTGCACACCTCAAAACTGCTCACAGCTGGCAGTTCTGAACTGTGGTCTGAAACAAACCCTTTACCTGCAGATCCTTAGATTGAAGCCTGGCGAGGTGGCTTCTGTCAATTTTAGTTGTTATTTTAAAACGTTTGGCAGCATGGAGCATGCATTTTAAAAACAGAGACAACTTTTCTCCAGAGAACTGAAAAGTTACCATCTGATTTTGAGGGAAAAAACAATTATTTAGTCGAGTATTGTTTCCACGGGCCTTCTGTCAGCTCCAGTCAAAATATAACCATGTCTGTTTGACACCTGGAAAAACAAATGAGTGGCTCCACAAAGAATGCCACAATGTGCTATAATATTTGTATTTGTGTCCGAGTGGTGTCCTTTACATTTGATTTCCCTACCTGATTAGCTGAGCATTGTCATGTGGCTTCAGAGGCAATAATTTGACCTTCCTCCAGTCTAGAAACTCATGCAAGGTAGTGAAGGGATCCTGGGTGATGGGACATTTGTCAGCGTCACTCCAGACCTCGAGTCCCACCAGCGCCACTCGGATATTCAAAGCTCTGTAGAACTGAGAGATGGGGGGAGAGGGTTAAACAGCCTCATTCTTTTATTATTAACATTTATTAAATGGCAGATTCTACAAAATTGTTACAGCAAACGAGGGGGCACTCTCAGGTCCTTAAAACTACCAATTTCTATAAGAATAAATCATCTTTAGTCCCCGTTTTATGAAACTGACCTGACATGTCTCAGCCCAGTTCTCAAATTGATCTTCCATTCATAACTCAATCAGGCTCTGCTCACAGGTCGGATAATTCTCACTAGGCTTGATGTGACCTCTAATAAATCACAATCCAACACTGCACTTGCTCGCTTCCTTCAATTGTTACCTTGTCCACGTAATTGGCGATCTCAGCCAGCCGCTGTTTGACCTTCTCCATGTCTTTCCCCTGCTTTTGAAACTGAACAACAGAAGAAAACAGTGTGAATGAAACATGAAAGGAAAGACTTTGCATTTTATAAATATAGTGCAAAAATCTGAATGTTATAGCAGTGAGTTTTGTACTGTGCTGTAATTCATGTCAAACGAATGTGGCTGCTATATTCCAATCACACTTTTCCTCCCGATCTGAGTCTGAGGCTTTTGAGTATCAACCGATGTCGAGTCCTGATCTGATACTTCAGCAATGCACTCATATAACAAAAAAAAAGGCCAACAGACACAAGTTACTTTAAGTTTAGTTTTATCGTGTTTTTTTCTTTCTTTCTGTATTTGTCATTTCTTTAGTTTACCTGCCAAAACATCACATGTTCAGGAAGTACATAGCCTTGATGGAGACACGCAACGCCATTATCCGTCCTTGCGAGGGCTCTCCAGCAGGCTCGCAAGGATGGATGGAGTTGAGCTCTGTTTTCTATAACATCCATCCAACAAGGCGGAGAATGCAAGCTTGTGATTGGTCAGGACGTTGCTGTCGTCAACAGCATCGCCATTGGCCCCTCAAAAACATAAAGCAATCTGAAGATATCTAGCATCAGAAGAAAGCTATGGGATGCGCTACAGCAGACACGGACCAGCTTTAAGAATACCTCGCAGTAAAACTCTAAAAATATGAAAGTTTTATTCACCCGTGTCTGGAGGAGTGAAAAGATACACAGCAAGCATTTTAATCGTTGGTGGAAATGACAGAAAACGTGGGTTTAGAGGTGGCAAGCGCATGAACAGGTGGTTGACAAAAATCATAAAATACACACAATATATGCACTATCTTGGACCGGATACATGACAGGATACCCTAGAACCGTGGTATGCCCTCTGTTGTCTTGGTGGGGAATTGGTTTGCACTCCCCAGGAGACGGAGAAGTCCAAGAGTAAAACATTTCTTTCAGTGCGTGTGCGTCTTTCCCTTGTGGAGCTGAGGCAGAAACAAACTAGGCTGCATTGAGCGATGCTCTTTCCTGCCATCGGGTAGGCACACCATTGCTGGCAGGCTTGATTTCTCTATACAACACCTGTAAAGCCCGGACCACACTACATTTTTCAGCTGTCCTAAACAAATCTCTCGTCGTGAACAGAACTGTGACCAAAAACGCTGAAAGTGAAGGTGATTTGCAAGTCTGTGGCCGTCCAGAGTGATCAAATCTGTGACAGCTTATTGAGTATTCTCACGACCAAAGTCAGCTTCCAACATTCTTGAAGCAGTGCTTGAAAACCTACGACTCCCGTCTGCAATCTACCAATGAAAATACATGATTGATGCGAACAACTAGTGACAGGAGTACAAAACGCAAGAAGTACAATTAGCAACATTAGCAAAAGCGGAAGCTACACGCAGGAACAAATGGACCACTCCTTTTTGGAGTTTGGGTTTGGAGACTAACAAAAGAAGTGTTAACGGCAGCGTTTTCATGTCTTTGCAGCATTGTCGTTTTGGTTAGCTGTCAGCTTTTACTGACGTATGCTTTTCGGGGGTGCGCTCGTGACGCTAGCTAGAGCCAGACGTCATGAAGTTTGGCTCACTGAAATCTTGCACCATACAGTGTGCCACCTTTCTGGGGTTCTCAGTGGGTCATGAGCAGTCTTGTGCAACAGACAAAAAATGCACAGTTTGGATTAAGTCATATCACGCCTCCAGGAGACAGACATTTTGCTGTCTGTCTACAATTTCTCTTTGTTTGTTACAACATAGCTCGGTGTCAGCTGGCTCTGTGTATTTGTCCGAGTTACTGCAGTAAACTGGAAGTATTAGTGATGTACCAGGGCTAAATTCAGACAAGTGACTCGCTGTGGCGACCCCAGAAAGTTTAACCCAAAAGGCAGCACACCGTGCAGGTCTTTTCCACCACAACAAAAGCCAAGTATGCACATTCAAGTGGCTGCTGCACTGCCTTTACTATCCGGTTTAAAATACAAACACGTTAACTCTGCATTATCCTGAAAGCTAACATAAAATCTCCTGCCTGCTGTAAGTTTGCTAGAAGACGGAGCTGCAGTATGACGTCACAGTGTTGTCTTTGTAGAAACAATGAATATTAATGTAGAGCTTGATTTCCAGTCACATGATCAGACCAGAGCATCCCTAATGGATACTGCTTCCCCACAACTAGTTATCACAAACAAAATAACACCAAAGACCTTTTATTTCTTTTTTTTTTAATGTTGAAACTGTGGATATGAGCAACATCAGAGGAAGTTTACTTCACAACATAAAAACTGTGAGATACTCCTGTCTTGTAGTCAGTGTTTTAAATTTTAAAGAACAAAGGACTGGATTCACTTGGTCAAAAGAGTGGACAGCCAGAGGAAAAAGAGACAGGTGTTTTATTAAAAATAGAAAGAGGACCTTTTAGTGTATACATTTGTTTTGCTGATTTAAATCCTGATGAAGAACACTTTTTAATATCTCTGAGAGAGCACATAAAGCCTCATCCGTGAGTCAAGTGGTTGTGTGATGTATGCAGAAGGATGCAGAGGGAGCTAAAGAGTGAAACGAGCGAGTACATCAAGAGTGACAACAAGGCCATCTCATCTGTGCCTCATGGGAAAAGGGCCATTTAACACATGACCTCCAGGTCTGTTTCCTGAGAGGTTCAACAAAAGGTGGAGAGGTCATGACATCTGCTTACCTCTCGGTTGTCAGCAACAATGATGAGCTCCACATACTTGGTTGTTGACTGGAGGTGGCGTTTGTGCTGAAAGAAATGCATAGGAAATAAGAGATCTGGTGTTAAGATATGATGGTAAAAATAGAGCATGAAAAAAGGAAGGGTATAGAGAGAAGAAGAGGACACAAGGAAGGGCAACCTCTGACTCATCAGGTGGCTTTTCTCCTTCTGCTTCATGGCAAATGCAGCAGAAACAGGAGTCAGCACAAAGCAATCAGCTCCTCTTTACGTCTGATCGTGGGAAGAACAGCTAAGGTCACACAATTCTCTGAACACACTGCACAGCTCATGAACCAATAAATCACTGTTTCTAGACAATGCTGCCTCCACCGTTTGCACAAAGTGTTACGCTCCAGAACATCCTCTTGTCTTTGTTTCTACAGTAGCTACAGTAAATGCTGACTCAGCTGAAACCTTTATAAAAACTCAAAAATGTTTTTGGATTCAAATCCAAGCTTTTTCATGCGTTAAAGGGGGCATGATAAGACTTTTTGTTTTAAGTTGTAATAGTTCTACGGTCGATAGCAAACGCCTTTATGAAGTTCTTTTCACTAAAAAGTTCTCACATAAAGCGATAACAGCTGTTTTATTCTTTAGAGTTTCAGCACCATCCAGAATGAGCCATTTCAGGGTTTTTGTCAGAAAACAAGCTGAAGCTGACCATGCCCACCCATATCCGCTCAAACTGCTATAAGCTGAGAAGCTCTGATAATTGGGAGGGGCTCCGAGTAGAGCTGTTGCTCCTCTGACAGCAGCTCTCTCTTGCAAGTGAGAGCTTGCTTGTGAGAGGTGGTTCTAACATCACAAATGAGGACTTTTTGAAACAACTTGTTTTAGGCACATAATTCCTGAAACCAAACACTGGAAGAAAATGGATGGATGTGGTTTATTTTCACATCTTGAATGTTTATAGAGAAGGTGGAGACCCACATGGCAGCACAAAAGAATACAAAAGGTTACTTTTTAATTATGTGTCCCCTTTAAAATATGCATTTGCTACATTCAATGTGTTCATGGCAAGCAAATCCTCTCTATCCTCTCACGCTGTGGTGGGTAACAACTCACTTTCAGCACATGTTGAGATAGTCTGTTTTACCAACACACACACACACACACACACACACACACACACACACACACACACACACACACACACACACACACACACACACACACACACACACCTTTCCACCTTCACCATCCTGCTGGCTAAGGGTTCTGCCTTCACACCGTGGCACACTTTCAATCTGAGCTTCTTTATCCTCACTGGCCTGGCAGCACTCTGCTCTTATCAACCCCCTTCATAGATACGCCAGCATGGACCAAGCATGCTGTAAGAGCACCCAATGGTGATAACCAAGTTTCTCTAGGATGCGAGGGAATGATAGGCGCCTCATGGGAAGAAGGGCATTAATAATATTTTGAAAGAAAGAAAAAAGCACCTGTTCTTGGAGAGTGTTGAATATTTTAGACCTCTACATGAACATTTAAGACATGTTTGACATGTGTTCTTGTGAAATTGGAACCAGAGCTAGAAAATAGCTTTTTTCTAATATAATTAAAAATATACAGACTCAGTACAATCCACAGCAGATTATAGAGTCAATTTGACTCTTTTATTGCTTTATATTTTTTATGGATTTAATGTCTTTATTATTAGATGTAACTTATACTTCTATTATGTTTTGTTCTATTCTGTTCTAACAATGTAAATGTCTTTTTGAAAGGCTGATCATTTTCTAGCTGTAAATATAAAATCTTTATTGTCTGACGAAACATTAAAGATTTTAAAATTCACAAGACAATAAACGAGCTAACCCCAACTGTTGTAACATGGTGCAGCTTGAGTTTTATTATTCACACAAAGAAATGTATCATAAGATGTTTGGATGATCTTAATGTATTATTTCTGAACACTAACGGTTGTGATACAGCTTTAGCAGCCAGTCCATGTTTATGTCAGTGTAACAATTACAAGTAAAGGTGATTACATTTTTCTTCATCAAAACCAGTCAAATGATTCTATTCCATCATTTGAATTATTCAGGAGAATTCATGACACCAAACCAAAACAACTATGAAGCACATCAATCCCCTAAATAGCAGAGTGAAGATGGTGTATTGAGTTAACATTTTAGAAACAGCCTTATTTCCTTTGCAGATAGAGATAAGAATTGATCTAGACTAAAACTAAGAAGCTAGCTAGCTAGAGTCCAACTAGAGGAGAGTCATTTACTCCAATCCTAACATGAGACATGACATGAGATTATCTTCTGCATATCTTATAAAGGTCAACTTTTCTCATATTAACACATTAGCAATGGTCTCTAGGTGGAATGAATGCCTTGAAACTAATTTTCTGGGGATAAAATCTCTGTTGCACCTATCTGAGGATGGAGAATTCAACTGGAGTAGAAAGTAGCCTCAGAGTCTTATTTCCTGAAATTTGGACATCTCGCCTCAGATTGGCTAACAGCAACGTGACTCTACCACTGACTCAGTTTGCTCTGTAATGTTTATGTTTTATCTCCACAAATAACTCCACAAATACCTCAACAAATAACAAAATAAAGAAAACACATTGAATGAGAAGGTGTGTCCAAATTTTTGGCCTGTACTGAAGATGTAGGAGACTATTTTCATGTTCAGCCTACATGTTAAACACGGAGTGACCGATTATGATAAATAATAATAATAAAAAAACATAAATCTTTGATCATAAATCCATCATTTCTTAACCCAATATTAACTTAATTTGATGTGTATTCCTTCGATGAGTGTTTGGATTTAAATTTATATCTGTATTTTCTCCAACAGAGGAGAAAAAAAACGATTGCCTCTGCATAAACTGAATAATGATTCGAGGTCAGGCGAGCTAATGACGCTGTAGCTAATGTTACACAGCTTAATGTGCATTTATAATCACATATTGTCTATAACACGATGCTGCAGTCAGATCCCAGCTGCTGTTTTCTTCCTTTTTAATAAAACATGAAAAACAGATCATTTTTAATTTAGAAAAACCACACAAAGTATTCAGCAGGACTGGACCTCTTTACTCTGAGCACATATGAGTTATAATCTCACCCGCCCACTGAATATTTGATAACAAATGTAATTATCTCTTCCACGCAGATGCACAGTGTTGTGATTTGAGAGTCTGATAGCTCTGCACTCGGTCGAGTCAGGACAGCAGAGACTTTCATGGTAGTACTGCAGCAACTGCTGCATTTGATCAATAAATTTGCCAATATACTTTTCTTATTTTCCCACAAGAGACGTAAATGATTCCCAAGAGTATTTTCCAAACACATACATGTGACGCGTTAGAAAAGGCAGACGTTTTGAAGATCAGTAGAAATGTTTCAGCAAGGCACGAGCGCTGCTTGAGCCAGAAGCCCGGGGGTTTATCCAATGATTGAAAGAAATTGAAAACAGGTTTAATGTGCACATTTGAGGATGAGCAAATGAGAATCTTTCAAAAAAGTATTTTAAACATGGAAAATACACTAAAACGTATTGGTGGATGATTGATTCTGAATTTTCTGTTGTGAATGGCTGAATTTGTAGTCGTTTCCTTCTTTTTTACTGCATAACATCAACAAAATACAAAATATCGACATCTAAAACGTGTACAAATTTTCAACTTGCAACAAAATCGCAAATGTCTGTGAAATTCATCATGTTGACAAAGTCGTGTTATATCTCTTCACTCCTCCATCATCTCTGGCTCTTCAGGAACGCTTTAACAACCCACTTCTTATCTTAAAACCCTTGAGCAACACATAGCAGCTTATTAAAAATCTGCCCTCTGCACACTTTTCTTTTACAGAAAAGCATCTTTTTGTGTACATTTTTGGCACCAGCTTCCTCTCCTTTTTTAATCTTCAGATTATTTTGCAGGGGTGCTTTACCCTTTGAAACTCATCTGTTCAATCGAGTAACAAATGATCACTACAAGCTCAGCAAAAAAATAAAATAAAAAAACTGCACAAAGAACATTAAAAAACCTCTTATGCAGGAAAATTAAACCAATATTTTTAACACAGATATAAATCATCCATATGAGCCCTTCTTGTCTTCTTTTGTTCCTTTTCCAACTCCATTTCTATCCGTTTCTTCTTTGTTTTGTTGTCAAGATTTCTTCTCTCGTGTTTAAACTTTGCAGCTCTCTTACAACCAAAGACAATAGTTGCAAGCAGAGCCAGCTCCTTAATCACCAGCAGAAATCAAGCTGCACAATAAAAGATTTTTTTAAATATTCCAAATGTTGGATGACTGAATAAAAACCAATAATGTGGGAAAAAGCACGATCCTGGAAACTCACACGATTTGCTCCAACTGACGTCAGTGCCCGCTCAGTAAAATGACAGCTAATATAAAAATCAGCAGAAAGCCCCGTGTATTTATGTTGAATCATGATAACATGTTTACTTGACCTCTTTGGAAGTCCTCGAGCATCTGTTTCATCTTTTAGATGCTTCTCTGTTGCCGTTTGCGCCGACTTGGTAAATCAGCTGTTTTTCTCCACACGCCTTTCTTCAAACTCAGATAACAATCAGTGAAATCAGTTTTCCACTTATCGGTGCTTGTTATTTATGAAGCTTTATTCCCCCTGAGCTCAGAGACTTCACAGGGAAGCGGCCCAAAAGATTTATCTACATGCTCTGAGGGGTCGCGGGAGGTCAACGCCATGACTGGTTCCATCCTGGATGGAGCGGACTTGGTGGAGCCCTCAGTCCGATTTCACGTTGAGAACAAATCGAGCCGTTAAACAGCTGACGTGCTTTGCAAAAGCATTTAACTTTAACTCCAAATGTTCTCCTTATGTTCTAAAGCACTAATGGATCCATCAGACTGAAGGGATGAATGAATAACTTAACAAGTAGTTGCCTCTAAAAGTATGACAGGCCACATTTCCATATCTGCATCACAATTGTTGTATTTTAAGAAAAGTTAGAGGGTGATGTGTGAAACACAAGAAACCTTAATGTGCTCCAGAGCTGTAAATGTGTAACTAGAGAAAACATCCTTAGTACCTATTGATCCTGTAGGATTAGGAGAAACTAGGATTATGAATTTAGCTTTGAGTTGTCAAATGTCAGAATAAAAGAAAGTTTCCCATTTTCAAAATTTAGGTTCAAGTGTTGAAAAAAGACAGAATGTGGAGATTAAAGTAGACTGTAAAAAAAGACTCGTTGATGAGAAAGTAATTAAAGTGGTACCCTGGGTCAAGAATACGTTATAAATGATGAGATTGTTGTTACTTTTGTGGTAACGTTCTCAGTGGTTTGTGGTAGAGTGGGGCCGCCTTGAGACTGGAGATTGGTGTTGAAATGCCAGTTGGGTCACACCAAAGACCTTAGGACCCAGTGCCTCTCTGCTTGACACTATGCATTAAGGAGTTGGATTGGGGGGTTAAACAACCAAATAGTTCCTGAGCACAGCCACAGCTGCAGCTCACCATGGGGATAGGTCAAACATGGGGAAGTAATTTCACCAGTGTGTGATGACTAACGACACTTTAACTTTAAAAAGGGTATTAGAAACTAAACCAGCACCGGCACAAAAGTGATGCCTTGTCTACATTACCTAGAGATGGTCATTATGTCAAAAAATGTTTCAACAAAAATAATAGTCGCTGCAAGAAGGTCACGGGTTCAAAAGCATGGCTGCAGCCTTTTCTGGAGTTAGCATGTTCTCCGTGTGCATGCATGGGTTTTCTCCTGCTGATCTGGGTTCCTGCCATAGACCAAAAACATGCATGTCAGCTTATTTAACTGCTTTGCGTTAGACACAACTTCAGGCCACTTAGCATGAAAGTGTCTGATAAACATATAAGCCCAATAAAAATAAATTTAAAGTAGTTTAAGGACCATGGAATAACATATACTTGGAAATTAGTAATAATAAAATATTATTAAATAGAATATAGATATTTTGGGATAAGTTTGAGTTAAATGTGTAGGTTTGAGATTTTTAAGTTTGGTGTGTTCCGCTGTTTTTACCTATGCTGCTGTACGGGAGATTCAACAAAAAGTTGACCCAGTACCCTGGACCTGACCAACTCTTCTGACATCATGTATATATATATATATATATATATATATATATATATATATATATAATTCTGGTTTGTTGGCAATATACAATTCACTGATCGTTCCATACTTGACTTATTGTGCAGAAATCTGGGGAGCAACATACAAAAACTATACACAACACTTATTTATTTTACAGAAAACTGCCCTGGAGTGCTCTGACTGAGGCGAGGCTGCCTTATGCAGGCGCCACTGGTCCCTCTGACCACCACCAGCTGGCAAGAAGGGTGACGTGTCTTGCTCAAAGACACACCGACAGAAATGATTGCAGGAGCTTGGGTTTGAACCTGCAACCCACTGATTACAGGGTGAGTTCTAACCCCTGAGCCACCATTCCCCACAACATTTTAGAGGTTGCCACACGCACACAGTTTATTTAGTACCACTAAATGAAGCCATTTGTCCAATAATTGAAACAGTGCACACTTTTAACAAACCAATATAACTTTACCTGAAGATCTTCTGCAGTAATTTTTCTGTAAGCTGTTGCTTCAAAGACTCTTCCAAGTTGAACAATGAATCCTTGATCCAGAAGCATCTCTAGCTTTAACACTTGGTGGTATTACAATGAATGAATAATAAATAAATAACCCTAATCCATGATCCAGATTTGAAAGTCTTTCACCATTAGAGTGCACATCAGTGATTCTTAAAGTCTGGATTCAGATAGACTCAATAAAGGTCAGTCAGGACCAAACTGACATTAGAAATGCATTGGTATATAAATGTTAAAGCTGTGGATCACTGAAATCACATTTTAATGATTATTTCTGATTATAATCAGTCACTCTGAGTTTTTCATGCAGGCTGAACATGAAAATAGTCTCCTACACCTATCTCCTGCATTAGCTTCTGATAGAAAACAGACGTGAAACTCTAGGATTTGTCACTTAGCATTCATGGACTCACCCATCTTGACTCACAAAGGGGAAGACTGTTGTTGCTTTAATGTCCAAAGAACAGCAGCAGCAGAGCATCTCTCAGCTCATAGAAGCTAACTATTAGCATTAGCCTCTCCACCACACAGCAGAACTCCTCCAGGCTTGTGTTATTTGTGGAGATAAAACATCAAAATTGCAGAGCAAACAGGGTCAGTGGTAGACTCATGTTGCTGTTAGCTAATCCGACGCAAGATATCCAAATATCAGGAAATAAGACTCTCCTCTCTAATGTGACATTCTGAACCACACTTTTAAGGAGTTACATGTTTAATACATTAATAAATACAACATCTTATTAAACTGTTCTGTAAAACACAGCATATAGATCTTTTGGTGATCCTGGTCTGAGACTAAAACATAACCGTGACAACCCTGACACTGACTCACGTGTAATGCAACGATGATGTGCTTCAGTTCTCTGGCCTGTTCTTATGTCAGAAGCAGAGGGGGAGGTGTCTATTTGATGTTACATTTAAATAAGCAAAGATGGTAGACCTGGAAAATGAGTTTTCAAAGAGGAATGGATGGAGAAATTAACTTAGCCTCAGTGCAGCGTGAGTCCCGTGATTCACATTTCTTCAGAGCTGGTTGTAGCTGAAACACCGGTCATTGTAAGCAGCCACATGCAAATCACTCAGTCCAATGACCATCACATTTGTGCCCAGGTTTAAGCGGTTAACCAAAGGCAGATGGAGCCATTTTCCACATTATCTCTCCATAAGCCCAACTATTCCTTATTGAAGTCGATCAACTTTAAGTTAAAACTTCTTAGAAAACTGCAGCGTACTTTTATCTCCACTGACAAAGCCACTCATCACTGCTGCATACTTACCCATCTGTTTCATGTCACATTTTCTACCATTGTTTCACTCTCCTTTTTAAAAAGGCAGATAAAGAATGGATAAGAAATTCTTACCCTAGAGCCAAAGGCCTTGAATGGGCTGCTGTCTGCAAACACAGCAGGGTGGGATATGTTGAAATCATGACCACAGGTGCCAGAAACAAAGCTGAGGTGTTCTGCTGAGTAGATCCAGTGTGTCCCATCAGAGCAGCTAGTGCATGGTTCCAGCATGTAGGCTCTGCCTCCAAGTGATATGAAACCCCTGCAGGAAAACACACACACACACACACACACACACACACACACACACACACACACACACACACACACACACACACACACACACACACACACACACACACACACACACACACACACACACACACATGCACGCCAGACAAAAAGGTTTAGAACACGTTTAGATTGAGCTAAAAAAAATGCAATGGAAGCATATTATAATGCATCTCAGTGGTGATGTGAAATTCAAAGTTTTGCACATGGAGGCAAGTAGGATACCATACCAACTTTATATATAAAGCACATTTAAAAACGGCAAGGCAGCCGACCAAAGTGCTGTACAGAATAAAAAGTGAAAACACAATATAAAACAAAACACGGTCAAAAATAAAATACACAACAAAGCAGATGATCACGGTCAATAAAAAGACACATAGTAAAATAGTAAAAGTCAGGGATTTAAAAATGCCTGGTCGTAAAAGTGGGCCTTAAGTAGCGACTTGAAACGGAGGAGGGATGGTGCCAGCCTCACTGAAAGAGGAAGAGCATTCCAGAGTGTCGGAGCAGCATAGACAAAAGCACGCTGCCCCCACGTTTTGTATTTCATTGTTGGAACGCAAAGCAGCAGGAAATCAGCAGACCCAGTTTGGCACATAACGAGTGACAAGATCAGACAGGTAATCCGGAGCCAGACCATTCAGGGCCTTAAAAACAAAAATCAGGATTTTAAAAGTGACTCTGAAGTTTACGGGTAGCCAGTGGAGCCGCGCCAGTACAGGTGTGATATGGTCTCTTCTAGGGGTGTTTGTTAAAAACCTGGCTTCCGCGTTCTGTACGACCTGAAGCCTGTTGAGAGCGGAGGCAGGTAAACCAATTAAAATGAAATTTGCGTAATCCAGTCGGGAGACGATAAAAGCATGAATTACAGATTCCAGGTGTGCTCGTTTCAGGATGTGCATTTTATCCTAAAGGAGACACTTCATCATTATTTTGAGGATGTGCTGTGTTGTCTATTATTTTAAGGAGCTTATGATTCTACGGCCTATTATCAGTTCTAGGGGATTAGGAACGGTCCTTAGATGAGACTTTTTCATCAGTAAGTTCTGAGCCCTCGACTTTGAATGCCCGCTAAGAAGTGTGCACACACACACACATTTGGGTGCACACACAAACAACCCTGCTCTTCCTCTTATGTTGCAGTTTCATTCTAAAGTTATTCTAGATGAAGCTTCTGGTAAGCGTTTCACTTGCTGTAATAGGTAACAAATTAAATTCAAGTGAGACACTAGAACACTAATTCATCTGATATGGTGTTAATATTATCACAGTGTCGACTTCAGCTCTAGAACCAGATCATCACAGCTTTCATTTTCACGCACATGAACTGGCATCATGTGAATCTCTCATGTCACAGCTGCAGCGTTTAGAATTGAAACAGACATCCTCCTCACTCACTGACTCGGTGAGATTCTCCTGAAGCTTGAGCAACATTTCAAACCACATGGATTCACACTAAAGCAATTCCCACGAGTCCGACGGCTGCCAACCCAAACCAGGAACTATTCATGTCTGGTGGAGCGAGCGCGTCTGTCAAAGCCTGTTTTATTGATCTGTCACCGCGCAGACAGCTTTCAGAGAAACTGAAACAAATAAATAAATATTACGACTGAGGTCAGCAGCAATTCAGACTCGGCCTGTTAAATCACTTTGTAGAGGGTTTAGATTTTCGGCTGACTTATGAAAACATTTTGGCGAGAGTCCAAAGACATTGCTGCAATCATTTCTGCAGTTTGACATCTGCAAATAAAGTGTTCCCAACAATAAAACTTCTCGCTTGTCTGAAGTCTCAAAACCTGATTTTCAATAGCGCTGAAGCAGTGTAATCTGCTAACCTTTGTAGCTAACTGCTATAATTTAATGGCACCTTTATGAAATGATGCACAGCTGGTGAGTTTAAACTCCTCTGAAGAAATATTACTTGAAAACACAGTGAAAAAAAAAGATCTATTATTGCAAACTGTGATTATAAAAAGGCATAGGGTGTAAAACGTGTGATATTAACGATGGTGATTATAAGACAAACAGGAAATTTTTGGACATTTTTTTTAAATTGTGATAATAAAACTTGCGGGATTGCATCTTTTTGTTTGCCTTTATGTCATAGGTGCAAATCTCACACGATTTCAACTGATACTTTTCACATTTTCTCTCGGTTTTGTGTCTTCGCCCATGACAGCAGTCTGCATGTCAACAAACAAGTTTATAAACCATTAAAACTCTCATCAAAACTGTAGATCATGGGTTTGAGCTTAAATAAACATCAGTACAGGGACTTTGTGGTGGCGGTATCATGGTTTGGAAATGTTTATGTATTTGTAAATGGATGGGTTGATTACATTTGTTAAAAACAGAGAGGACTGGAGCACACTGACCAGCTTAACAATTCATTGTGAAATACTGACTAACACTGTCGAAGACTCCGATGAAGACACAGACAGTGTTGCAACGTTAGTCAGGCTTTGCACAATGAACGGTCAGTGTGCTCCAGCCCTTCCAATTTCTGCAGCATTGATGTTCTTCAGCTGTGCCTTGTTTTGATTTCATTATTAATTTGATTAATTTTGAATCGTAACAGCAAATTAAAAAGAAAAGTGATTAAAATCTAACAATGAACCGAATTGTAGGAGAAAGTTGGGAGAATGAGCACACAAGTCATTCCAGTTAAGACTGGCTAGAAATTTTAAAGATAATTCAAAGAAATTAAAGAGCAAGTAACGGCTAAATTAACTTTTTTTTTTTGCTGATGAACTGTATAAATGAGTGTCTAATAGTGTTTTAAATGTGTGCATTCTTTATTTTAGCATTTTGGTGCATTTTCTTTAAAAATTAAAAATTCTGTCTAAAAACCACAGTAATGCGCCACCTTCAGCTGAAAACATAGAATTTGAGTCATTTTGAATAAATTTTAGCCAATGGCTAAAGAGTAAAATACTACATAAACCAGTAGAGTACTACGTAGCAGCTCCGTGCCAGTTATAAAAGCAACGAGCGTCTCGGCCACGCCCTGTGGCGAGTGGGAGTTGGATTTGCAAGCGAGCGTAGGAGGTCAGCGGTAGTTCAGCATTAGCATATAGCGTTAGCATATCCTAGTCTTTAGCATATCTTTTAGTGTTATAAATACTTATTTAGTGTTAGCTTGGCTGTTGGATATTGTAGTTTAGTTAGTGTTTGGCTGTTAGAGTAATTGGGAAAGTAGTTCGGGTTTAGTGTTCCATATCGTCTTAGTATTGGTGAGTAGGTGTAGTGTAGTATGCTTGCGGTGACTCTGTGGGCATTTTACCCACGATTCTGCACGTCTCCGTTTGAAGAGGGAGGCTGCCCACCGTGGCTCTTCCGCGATTTAGATGCAGCCCACCGACTCTGCTCCCCCACCACGGCGGGCTCCAGTCTGAGGTGAGTAAGCTAAATAAACGTTTTAACATCTTCTAAAGACAATTCCCTACCTAAATGCAAAGTCTGAGAGACGTGGTTCACTTCCTTTTGCTAGTCATTCGGTAATTCTGCAACAGTGGCTCTAACTGACGCAGCACTAGTTGACAGACAGCATTATAGCGTGAAATCCAGCTTGTGACCCGGTTCTGTAAGGAATTCTGTTCAGGAGGTCACATTTCAGGCTCTCCACATCATGTATGACTGACTTTTACGTTATAACAACGATCACACACTAGGAATGTTATAAAGCGCCTACATAGGAGATTCTTTTGTATATTATCTGACTTTATAAACTCCAACAACAATGTGCTTATATATTTTTTTCAGGCTAAATCTACCCAAGACACTGGCTGTCAGACTGATTTAGCTGCAAGAATGCACTTGTCCAGGCTGATGTGAAACCTTCCCTGTAGCAAAGGTGAATTATTTTTAATAATCTTCTATGTAAACATTTTATTATTACCTTCTAGTTTTAATTTGTTTTACAGATTATTGTTACACGTGATTTTATGCTCTTTTAAACATTTATAAATGTGCTGCTTCTTTGTTTTTACATAGCCAGCCAGAATGGAGTTCACAGCCGCAGTGTGTCTGGTGACCCACGGGGACCATGATGAAAATTCATCTTCCAGAAGGTCCCAGAGCAGCGGCCACACCCCCTGAAAAGACCAAGATGTAAGGTGTCTGCTGTTGATTCCAGCATCCACCTCAGTGACAGTGCAAGCTCAGTGAACTGTTCAAGGTAAAAAAAAATTAAAACATTTCAGAATTTTTAAGATATTAACAATTAAATAAGTATGTGATTACATCATGACGGAGGCTACTGATTCTGCCTCCGTGACACTTGGTGGTGACGTGTGAGCTGATTCACCTGGAAAACAACTTTTACATTAATATTTTGTTTTTGCTATCAAAAGTAAATTAACTAATAACCTGCATTATTGCAGGACACTCAGCAAAATATGGACTCTACACCATGAGGCAGGCACACGTTAATATTCTATAAGAGCACATAAGGTGAGCAACACCACATATTGTACACTGTCCTGAATTTGTTTTCTTTCTGCATCTCATTAGCCTGGCTGATCACCTGATAGCTCCTGTCATCTGGTTATGACAGCATGAGGATGTCCTCACACCTGTAACCTATCAGCTCATCTGGCAGAATAGAGAGAGAAGAGACAACACCACATCTCCTGTTCCTGGAAAGCCTTCAGCCATCCTTCGATGACTGAGAAACTCCATCAGCTCTGTCTCCTGTCTGCCTACAATTATTATAATAAATATTATGTTTGACAAGTTTTTTTGTGCTGCCAAATATCTCATATAGATTCCAGTTTTGATATTTTATTGGATATTTATAAATTACATTAATTGAATTATCACATTGCATGTTTAACTAGCTCTATTGTGATGATTTAAACTAGCACCTCACTGTTAAAAGCTCGTTTTAATTTCAATCATGTTTAAGTATTTATGGACATGAACAAAAACAGGAAATATATAAATTGAGATTTATTTAATTAATATAACAAATAAGGGGGAAAGAGTCATTGAAAGGCACATTCTTCTGGAAGCTCCTGATCCTGACGACACCAGACCAGCTGCAGACACCAGAGGACCTAGAACCAAGAGAACAGCTGTTATCAGTAAATAAATAAATCAGGGCAGTTTTAGTGAGCTGAACACATTACAGAATAATTTTCTCATGGGGTATTTTCATAACTTTATATGCAGCAGACTGTAACTTGAGCCCAGGGCTACCGGAGAGCTGCTATCCAGCACGTTTCAGTGGATTTTCCTGCTTTAACAGGTTAGATTAGCTGTTAAGCAGCTCAGCTATTTGTTGCTGATTAAAACCAGGTGTGCTGAAGCAGATAAACCTCTAAAACATGCTGAATACTAGCTTCTTAGGGCCGTGGAGCCAAACACTACAGCTAATCCAATGCTATGGCTAACGGCTACTTACCATTCAAAGGTGGTTCTGTTGGGTCGGTTCTGAGAGTTTCAGGCAACTCACAAGCTCAAAACAATAAGGCTCAGGTCCGCTTGTCTCCTCCAGATAGACTTGGTCCCTTTCTTCTCGAGTGTCTGGGTAAGGAGGGGGAGAAACATCCTCCACTTCTAATAACTGCATAGAGTGAAGGGAGCTAGCATCGTCTAGCTAGCCGTCGTCTTCGTCACTGCCGCGGCTCCACCCTCTCGGTCCTCCAGGCAACGCCTACTAATATTGCATTTTTTAAAATTGATACGTGGATGGAGAAGGACTCCGAGGCTCAATTGACCCGCTCTTTAAGTTTACCCTAATTTGAAAGAAGGATCTGAACCATGTAGATCGCATCAGGACACCCAAACCCAGCAGGAGTTGTTCAGTTAAAGCCAACAAAAACAGTGTGTGTGTGTGTGTGTGTGGGTGTGTGTGTGTGTGTGTGTGTGTGTGTGTGTGTGTGTGTGTGTGTATGTGTGTGTGTGTGTGTGTGTGTGTGTGTGTGTGTGTGTGTGTGTGTGTGTGTGTGTGTGCCAAAAATTGGAAGCAAAACCTTACTTGATTAGTAGAAATTCTAATAACAATCTACTTCCACACAGAGAAAAAGAATCCCATGAACTTTTGGTTGTCCAAGAAAAACCTAATCAGGAAGTTGATGTGAACACGTGGCTGATGTTTGGTTATCAGCTCCACTAACATTTTCTCACAAGTGAGACAAGTTTTAGTGATGTAGGAAATGGGACACACCACCACCTGACTCCAACTAAACCGTAAAACTCATATGGCACATGAATTTAATCAAAACATTTAAAATAATAAAAAACAACAACAACAACAACAAAAAAACCCAGAGTTTTAGACTTCCTGGTTTTCAATAAGCATGGAGAAAAACTTACTTAAAGGTATTGGTGCAGTGTAACTACACTTTACCATCTATATAAATATAAACTGGGTTCAGTTTTTCGTTTTGTTAAGGACTTTTGTCATGAATCACTACAGAAAACCCAAATCCTCTCCTCCATACAGCGAAGAACTGTGTTCCGCATACGTCACTCCAACACAAAACAAGGTAGCTGCTGTTGCTAGTATTGTGAACGACTGTATTTTGTTTACTTTCATGCTCTTAATTATTAGGAAAACTGCATTTACAGCTGCAGCAAAAGATCTGGGGCATATATCTGTGTCCTACACGCATTTTTAAATAACATAGGTCTGATCTAAAATATTAACCTTCATCTTTAAGTCCATCCGGAATTGCACCGCTACTTCTGGACTCCAGACGAGTCCCATTAGCATTCAAATTCAATTCACAAATACTTTATTAATCCCAGAGGGAAATTGATTGCTGTAGTAGCTCAGAATAATAATAATAATCAAGTCATCAAAGAGTTATGGTACATTACAATGGCTGTTGGCAGGAAGAATCTCCAGTAGCGGTCAGTGTTGCACCAAAACTGAAGAAGCCTTTGACTGAAGACACTCTTCCGTTGTCGGACAGTCTTATGAAGAGAATGCTCAGGGTTGTCCAGAATTTTCTTGATTCTCTGGAGAATCCTTCTTTGCATTATCTCCTCCAGTGGTTCCACAGTCGGCCCCAGAACAGAACCAGCCTTTTTTTTAGGCTGCTGAGCCTTTTCAGGTCCCTGCTTCTGATGCTACTACCCCAACAGACGATGGCTGAAGAGATTACACTCTCAACAACAGACTTGTAGAAGATCTGCAGCATCTTGCTACAGACATTGAAGGACCTAAGCATCCTCAAGCACAGAAATGAAATATTTAAGAAAAGTAAACAAACTGCAACGATTTTGGTTCTGAAGATGAACAGAATCCTTCCTGGTGACCAAATAGAATTGCGGGTCTTCTGAGTTAAACGGTCAAAAACATGTCTGCACCTCCTTTAGTGATATCCAGCTAGTTGGATCGAAGTTGGGTTGAACTTCTCCGGTAATCCGATATCTGTTCTTGTCGCCGTCTCCCAGAGACAAAACAAATTTGACCGACTTGCAGAGGCTTCAGAAGCTACACCTGACTGATGACACATTGTTCTCTGCTACAACTCTAACGCAGAAACACTGGAGTCGGGAGTTGTTTACTATAGCTGTTTCAGCAGATCTTGTGAAACATCACCAGCTGCCCAGGGCATAGACTGGAAGTTAGTTTCTGTCATCAGATTTTCTTAAAATTCCAGCTGTGAAAATCCAAAAACCTTTTTCCATCTGATGTTTTAATACTTCTTTACACATGCCAGTCTAAGGAATTTTGCCTCTGGCCAATATCTTTAATCTTACTTACTTAATCCCGGAACAGATACTGAGGCTGACATCCGAGTTGGCATGACCCTCCACCTCTCCGTGGTAGTAGCAGTTTCCCTGAAACACATTAAATACACAAAGAGTAAGACCAGACTGAAGCAAAGCCTAAAATCAGGGTTTCTTTTTTAGGTTAAGATGTTTACAGAAGTGATTCATCACCACAGACTGATGATAGCTCCAGTCTGAGTTTGAGAGCAGCACTTCATGAATTTGCTTCCTGTCCCATTCCCAGGTACCCACTTTCGGGGACCACCTGTCAAGCAGCAGCAAAGTAAAGAAAGTAAATGGGGTCCATGTTTATTGGACAAGCCCTGGCAGCAAATGGGTGGGGAGGAAGTGTCTGGTTTAGAGTGAAAACAGGACTTCAGCTTTTTACTTCACTTAGAGGAACTCGCTCAGGTGAGGTCTGTCCGACAGCACTCTGCTCTAGGAAAAAAGGAAGTGTGAGTTTTCCATACTTAGACAGCCTCTAAATATAGAGGGCAGCTGAACGTTTCAACGTCTGGCCTCCTTTTAGGTCTCTTCTCTTCAGACGCTGCTGAATGGGCATGTTCAGAGAGTGGGTTCTGTTTTTCAGATGAATCAATGTTTAATAATGAAGGAATGCACCGCCTCAGACTAGTTTTAACATGATCATTGCAAAAATTAAAAGGTAATTAAAAGTGTTTAGCTGCACTTTGTCTTTCAGCATCATCACCAAAATCATTGATGAATGTAAAATGGATTAAACTATTGTGAAGAAACTGATTAAAATTAAAAATATCAGAAAGAAAAGAAAGAAAGCAATATTTTATATAAGATAAAAATCACAAGGCACCTCACAAAAACAAAAACTTAAAATATTAAAAAGATTTTTTAAAAGGATTTAAAAATGTCTTAAAATGACTAAAAACTTTGTGCTAAAATGTAAGGAAAGGGGGAGAGCCAAAATGAATAGGAAAGAGGGAAATCAGTGGATCCCGGGAAAGGTGGAACAAGAGCAGAATAAGGAGAGGGTGATGATGGTCACACCAAAACCAGCCTGAACAAGTGAGTTTTCAGCTGCTTTTTAAAGGAGACCACTGAGTCCACTGATCTCAGGCTCAGGGGGAGAGAGTTCATGAGTCTGGGGGCCGCAGCAGCAAATGATATGTCACCTTTGGTCTTTAGCCTGGTGCTGCACAACCAGTAGGCATTGGCCACTGGACCTCAGGGACCTGCTGGGGTGTAGGGACTGAGAAGATCACCGGTGCATGATGGTGCTTTATTATCATGTCATTTTACAGCAGAAACAATAAGGCCAGCCTTAGCACTGGGATCTTCAGATGTTTAAATGTACAATATTGCAAGTGAAAGTAACTTCAAACATTATTTTTCCAACTCAAGACCAGCGTGAAAAGGGTAGAATGCATTCTCCATGTCAGGGATGAGTGGAGGAGTTAAACTATCTCAGGGTCTTGTTCACTAGAGAGGGAAAGGTGGAAATGGAGATCAATAGGCAGATTGGTGCTGCATCCGCAGGGATGCGAGCGTTGTACCGGTCTGTCATGGTGAAAAGAGAGTTGAGCTGGAAGGCAAAGCTCTCGCTTTACCGGTCCATCTACGGTCCTACCCTCACCTATGGTCACAAGCTTTGGGGAGTGACTGAAAAAACGAGATCCCGGATACAAGCGCCCGAAATGAGTTTTCTCCACAGAGTGGCTGGACTCTCCCTTAGAGATAGGGACCCCAACCCTGAGTGAGCAAATAGAATGGCTAGCTGGCTGAAAATTCTACTTTGTTCTTCTTTTTCTTCAAGGCACTCAAGGAGTACAGACGCTTCTCTCTTTCGCTCCCTTATCTTTTTTTTCCCAAGGCTCTTTGTTCCGTCTGCCCACAGAGCGCTTCTCTGCATTTCTAACCATGGATTTGATAAACTGGTCATTCAATGCGAGCGGAGGTCACACCCGGTGGGGTATATTTTGGATTCCCGTAAGGAGTGGAAGATCATATGCCTCAGCCAGCTGTCCACTGAGGATGTCGAAGACGTGTGGATATTCGGCCTGATGATCACTGGATTTCTCCTGATTGGAATGGGAGGATACCTGGTTTTCTGGAAAATTGGGAAGACGGGAGCGATTGGAGGGCAACCCGTACCCACGGAACGCACCGTCCATGTGGAGACTTCTCAGAATGGGACGTTACTCGAGGTGAATCATAAGCTGGACAATGTTCTAGCTGCGATACTGGTATTAGTGCGCAAAATGGATGTCATCTCGGAGAGAGTCACCGGACGATATAGACAGGTTTAAAAACCCAAAATTGGCTTCACTGAAGGACTGGAATGATCAGTTTAAAGACTGAAGGCAGAGAGGAAAATTATCTCAGCCTAACCAAAACAAATTCTTGTTATCTGAATCTGACGCCCTGGTAGCCTTGAGCAGCGAGCAAATAAAACCCCCACGAAGGAATGCAGACAGATGCTGTGAAAACCCGACCTAACCCCCGCCTTCAGATTGGGGGATTTCAGCCTGGCGAGGTCATCAATCTGTGGGAGTCAATGCACTCTTTGCTTCTCCAAAGATCTCCCTCCCACCTGTGACTGTACAGTAGATGAGCGCCGGAGATGGCTGCTCTCACTGGGGGAAACAGGATCCCCCCCCCCCCCCCCCCACCTTCCTAATGGAGTGTCATGTTACTTAGTGTTGTCTGAAGTCTTTTTTGTATCTGTTGAGGTGTTTTTTTTTTTGCAGAGCAAAGCTGCCATCCTGCTGGAGAGTAACTCTGAAGTGCCTTTTTTCCCTCCACCTGAACCAATCCTCTTGTAAACCCTCTTCTCTCTATTAAGGTAGCGCGACTCGGGTTGCGAATGACCACAGTCACCAATTCTTGTCATGTGTCTTGCCCATGTATGTCTGATCTCTGAACTCTGTGTACTGAAACTCAAATTTCTCTCTGGGATTCATAAAGTATTGATTGATTGATTGATTGATTGATATAATAATAATTATTATTTTACATATAAGCATTATATGACTCTGCAGGCCTCAACAGGTCTTCCATTGGCCTGAACTGTTTTAGGTCAGTCCAATCACAGCGCTCTACAATTGTAGAGAGACACTGGGCGGTCTTAGCACCAGAGCTGCGACAGAGCCCAGGAACACTTGTTTGAAATGGGTTTGGTATTGACTTTGGTCAATTTAGACTTTGACTTTGAGTCAATAGCAGATAAATGTACTTAGATAATTTATTTTGAATAAGTATGTATTTGCTTCTTTGATGGTAAATATTGGAGTGCACCGTTGATTTCAGTAGTTATGAATATGTCACATTGTCCATTGCTCTGATTGGTCCAAGTGCAGTCCAATAGCGCATGGGGACATTCATAGATTCTGCTCCATGACTGAGATCTGTCTCAGGGGCATGGCCAGACTATATTAACATACATAGGATGGCGTGCCAGGCTATTGACTCTGCCCATACATTAAAGAGTTTTTCACCAAAATAACTTCATATTTAGCTTATGCATAACCTATGGTTACATCAACAAAAGGAAATAAAACAGACAAAAACATTTTATTACAAGGATCATATTTGGGTAAAAATAAACGAGCTTTTAGGTAGTGAGTGGATGCAACTAATACCTTAACCCTCCCACTGTCCTAATGGGTGTGACCCCGCGAGGAAAGTTGACCATTGAGCAGGGTTGCTAGTTTATCCCTTGGGTCCACGTGGCAGGGATGAGGAGTGAGCACCACCTCACCCCTGCCACATGGACTTCAAGGGATAAACTATCAATCCTGCTCAATGGTCAACTTTCCTCGCGGGGTCACACCCATTAGGACAGTGGGAGGGTTAAATCTGTGTTTCCCTCTCTGGTTGTGCACTTCCAATAACTATGACAAGTTAATAAATTCTGAATTCAGTCACACTACAGATTTGTTCTCTGGAGGCTTAAAAATGCCCAGATCTCTCTCACTGGTGTGACCTGGTGTCTGTGCTAATGCGCGTATTAATAACCAGCTATTAATCACTGACCCTCAATAAACTGATTCAGAGTTTTTTTTTTAAATGTACTCATTTAGATCTATTTGTGGTAAATAAATCCTCGGAAGTCCTATGAAAATGGATGGATGGATGGATGTGGTAAATAAATGTAATTAATCAAGCTCTGGCTTGTTGATCAAGTTGACAATTATTCATATTCTAAATTTGACTACGACCAGATAAAACGCACAACTTCTAGTTGCGAAAGTTGACACATTTTTTAAAGTTATTTTGTCTAACTCTGGAACATTCTCTTGTAAATCTGCCAGTTTTATTTCAAATCATTTTCTAAAGACCTGAGCAGTGTTTAATGTTGAGATTTCTGCTTTTATTTTTAGGTCATAATGTTACGGGTAATAATTTACAAGAAGGAGACACATTTTTATTGGAACTAATATGTTTGGTAGGCAGCCAGAAATAAAAATCAATACAGGACATATTTAAAAAATAAGCATTTCATTTCTGTACTTGGGCATTTTAGATGAACCCCCTTTTAAACCCAGTGGCAGAACTGGCGGGCCTCATCCTGATTAGTACAAAAATATAGAATTTGGGATGTCTTGATCACGTTTTCTTTCTCCTGATCTGATTCAGAGTCCTGATCCAATCATTTTCAGTAAAGCATTAAAATAATAATAATAATAATAAAAACATCAAAGTTGTTCTTTAAGTTTCACTTTAAGTTGTTTGGGAAGTACTCTGACTAAAAAACCTGTTTATATTATGTATATATTCAAAAGTAGCAGCATTGCTCTTTTTTCAAGTTGTATACTCCCTCAGATGCAGCTGTATTGATCAATGCGTGATCCTGTGACGGAACGTCTCGGCCAGTGGCGGCTCCAGAAATTTTTTTCTGCAGGTGCTATGAAGGAGCTAGTCTTTTTATTGAGGGTGCTATGAAGGAAGTGGTCATGTGTACCTATTGTTCTCTAAAACACTGTAGCGGAATATATTTGGCATATTCTTACACTTTATTAAGGTCCAGAGATACACGTGCGTGCACAAAACCTCAACAACACCGGGAACAATCATTAATATACATCATAAACATG